TCTTATTAGTTGAATTCTAATATTTTTGAAGCTTTTCCATATTTCCATTACTAATACAATGCTACATATTTCTCAAATCGGTTAATTACTAACTCAAACTTGAATTTTGATTCATGATTATCATGTGACTCTAGCAAAATTACTATGTTTATCTAAATTACATCTAAACAGCAATATATTTTTCTAATCATTTTTGACATTTTAAAAAAAATTATACATTTTCATAGTTTCGATAGTGGCAAACCATTAAAATTAGCCAAGTAAATTATAAAATATTTAAAAAAGTTTTTATAATAGATATATAAACATATACAGTAATTTTTTACAAAATTTGTAAAAATTTATATATATAGTAAAAAATTTAATAATATTCTATAAATTATTACGTAGCTAATTTTATGATAATGGATTTGCTAATCTATATGATAAAACTTTAAATGTTTAGATAAATCAAGTGACATGTTTTATACGTAAATTACAGTAAGTTGCAGATAAATTTTTATGATTTGTGTAACGAGTTTATTGATTCAATTTTTCATACTGATCGTAACTTTGTATTTAAGCAGAGTTTTAAAAGTTGTCAATTTTCAAGAAATAATTAAACAGTACGTATGATGGTATAATCCATGGAAATTTTGAACCGATTCATATGACTTTGGGTACAGATTACGCAAATGATATAGCATTTATTACATATTTTTCTTTTTTTTTTAATTTACTCAAGTACCTGTTGAGATGTTCAGTACCTGTTGAGATGTTGGAGTCGGTTAAAACCCATGAAGCAGGTCATACATCGATACGGACGAGAACCTCTTTGGTACTTGGTAGCAATGTATTTTTTGTTTGAAATTAGGGTTTCGTTGATTTGATTTTCATTAGGTGTAATTGCGAAGGGACAGGGGTGAGACTTGACATGTTTAAACGTGAACACGTTACGTTTCGTTTCTTTGGAGTTCGTAGAGGCCACACATCGTCTTAATGCTTATATAAAAAATGAATGTTATACGTAGTCTAGGTATTTGCTAGGATTCACATGGGCTTATGCATTTGGTAAGTTCAAAACTGCGTTAATTTTTAAATAAATATACTACTTGTAACTCTTCATGTTAACGCTATAGCCCAAAGTAAACATAATTTGGTCCATAACTCAAAATGACCCCCCATACCCGTTATTTCGAGATATTACGGTACACATCATTTTTCAATTAATTTTAATATGTTATTCATAGATTTGAAAATGTACATCGTTTTGCAATCGAAATTCATCTATATGGATATTTTTAATTTGATTAAAATTTATAATTTTTCAAAAAATATGAATTGACCAATATAAATTAGCCTTTTTTTTATTAAATATTATGATTTTTTGCATTCGCCTCTCAATATATAATGCTAGTAAACTTCGAATTCTTGATCATATTCGACTTCTTCAGTGAGTGAAAATAGATCGACTTTTCTCACTCTAATATCGATTATACCCATCAAGTTCACAGATAAAAAATTCTGCTTTTGGATTGTGACTAAAAAGACGTTTATACCAATAATTAAGGCAAATGTAATGACAAATAATATTATTGGAAGTACACCAGAATAATGCTTAAGAACCATCAGACCGATCATAGTTAATTGAAAAAATGAATATTCCTCAATAAAATTGGTTTATTGCATGTAAAAACTAGGAATCAGAAAGCGATATAAGTCCGGTGCATAAGAATAATAAATTGCTTTATTAAATTTTATTTTTTATTTAATTCATTGTCTCATTCGTTGATTGGGTTATTTCGATGATCATTGCGAATCTGATGTAAAATTTAAAAGTTAACCAGCTGTTCCCAGCCCAAAAATTATCATTCGAAGTATAATGACTATGAAGCTTCTTTGAAGTTTTAAAATTTTTTTAATTATTCTTTAAACCATCGAATAAAATTTCAGAATTTAGCGCTTTGTCTTAAATGGTCTATTTTTTAAAAAAATGTTGGTATTCTGCATTATAGATAAATGTTAAAAAAAAAACAAATTTTTAAAAAAGTTGAGTAGTTTGCGGTTGAAAGGCCAAGATTTTATACGTAGTAAAATCTTTGGTGGTCAATTAAAGCGAAGCGAGGTTTATGGTTACTTTTTGACTCCTTTTGACGCAGGTAGGGTTAATAGGTTATATAGATATCAAGAACGTAATTTATGCAGTACGTAGATTATATACAGTATCTGTATCAAAAAAGTAGATACAAAAAAAATTTTTATGAAATCTAATTGGTGTCGATCATCATCATATGATAATTTAATTACATATTTGGTTTCGATCATCATCATATGATAATTTAATTACATCATTTGATTTCAAAACAAAGATGTGTATATAGAAAATTATCTTGGTTTTTTTTTCGTTAATGTTTTTATGCTTTTTCACTTTTATCCAAGTAAAAACTTTTATTATCACATATTTCTGTAGATTGTTTTTATTTTTCAAAACACTACATCAAACCGCTGATACATACAAGGTAATATATCATAAATGTCTAGGTTGTTTTTGCTGCTGTGAAAATTACATCTGGTTTATGATATAGTAACTAAATAGTTGCTAATTGATTGTATGTATCTATTTGTGATTCTTTAATCAGAAGTTAAAGATAATAGAAGCATTTCAGGCCACAACTTGTGGCAATTACCAGTTAGGCATTGTGATCTATGGTAAATAGTTTGTTGTGAATATCTATTTCTTTTTCTAATGGTTTTAAAGGTTATTACCGTAGTTAAGATTTTGATTTTCATGTTTGCGGAACCAATTAATTAAGACAATTACTCCTAGTAATTATATCTTAAAAGGATCAGATAAACTTGGAAGCGGTATTAATCATTGTGGGTAGTGATAGATGCATAAAATCAAGTAACCAGAAGCTCTTCGCGATCACAGTTAACTGTGAATGTCCTTATTGGTTTTTCAATTATGATGCAATTTATTTATTTTATTTTACTTTTTTTTTTATACTGGTATAAATATAGGATATTATATGACTATGAAATACACAAGTAATGCACAAGATCGATCAAGATTGATGAATTTTTAGAGAACCGAAGAATTTAAATTGAACTTATATAAAAATATATATATTGAAAATTTCAAATATTTATCAAATAAATTAGTATTTTTGGTATTTTTTTTTGTTAATATAGATTCATTTTTTAATAGAGTTGTTTTTCAATTATTTATAATTAATATAATTTAATAAATTTATTAAATATTCAAGATCGTTTAATAAAAAATATAAAAATGTAAAAAAAATAAAACATAGAGTTTCAAAAATATAGTGGAAAAGTTACAATTAATAAATCAAAATCACCGTTTATCGTTATTACTTAAGCCATTATTATAATAATCATGAAAAATATTAAGTTACTTATAATTAATCATATATAGTTAGTTATTCTTGTATTTATATATAAGCGATTTTATTTATAACAAAAGAAATGGTTTAGATTATCAATTCAAATTTTGTACTAGTTCAAAAATATATCTTCCAAGAGCATGAAACAAGTGAAACAATAACTTTTTACTAAAGAATAGCTTTAATAGTAAAAATTTAATTTTTTGCAAAACAGTTTTTGAGGCAATTCCGATTTCATCGTTTTTTCCTAGTACTCACGGGAACTTAATTGAAAAAGTAATCTTTTATATTAAAAAGAGCATTATATAAAAATTTTACAAGGGATTTTTTTTTTTTTTTGTTAGAACGTGAAAGGTGATTTTGTATGATTTTTTGAATAAATTTAATAGTTTTGTTTTACGTTATATTTGATTCTACGTATTATCTTTTTTTATAACATGTATTGGTGGATTCAAAGTTAAGAAAAAAGTAGCGTATTTTAAAATAAATGGAAGTTTGGAAATCTTCAAAATCTTAAAATCGGAAAATAAAATAGAAGTGTTTAGAAACTCCCATTTCATGACAAAAATTATTATTTCAAATTTATCGAAAAATGAAATAAAGTTGATATATCGCTCATTTGAAAAATAAATACATTATTTATTTTTGTCAAAATTAGATTCCCGCACATTAACTTTGAAACTCCTAATATATAAATATGTTGATTTAGCAAGCAATTTGGGCGAATTAAAATACATGAATCTAAACATCTTATTAGATTGCATGGATATGAGAACATGCCAAAAGTTAGTATAGATTCTAGTTTAGCACATTGGGATACCCAATGCTAATATATATTAGAATCATAATCATGAATTGCTGGATAATACTAATATTGTGTTATGTATTGATAAATATATTGTTCTGTTAGAGCAAATGGTTGAAACGTGATATATATCAACTAATCATTTGCTTCGACAAAACGAATTCATGATATTAATCGATGCATGATCAATATTATATACTTGACAATTTCCAGATATTGAAAAAATTAAACAAATGAATGTCTAAATTTTTATTTATTGACTGGATCAGATCTACTTAAAGTTACACTTTATTAATACATATCTGGTATAAGTTTAGAAAGGATCGCTAAATTCTTTCGCTAACACTAGTGATTATCAATTCATCAGAAAAAAAAAAGCAAAAATTTTGAAAGATAATAAATAAACAAGATAAAGAACTCGCAAAACTAAAATTTTTACTATATTAAGGTTTTCATTTGTAATTTTTTTAAACCAAATTTTTGGTGATGTACTATTACCATTATTATTTACTTTCGATAGTTATAGGCAACGCATGGAATTTTTAAAAGTCTGACAATGATTGTTAATGCGATTACTAATCTTTAAATATTAATTGTCACATCACGTGATGTCAGTATTATGGCCTGTCGAGATTTTCGATATCAGAATTTCGTGCTAGACTCATTAGTAATTAATATACATAAAGATCATTTATATGTAGAACTTTTTTGTTTATCGTCCACTTATATATGTACGTACGTACATGTGTCGTGTGTCAAATTCGAAGAGCGTAAATGAAATTCAATTCTGGTAAATTATTATTGCAAATAGAGTATTTACTGCAGAAACGATTTCGGCCTATTCAAAACTAGTTAAGATATAAGCTGTAATACTTCAACACAAGCTGAAATATTTCGGCCACATGTAAAACAATACAGTATAAGCGATGCCCAGAGAAAACTAGACTTTGGCTTCTGCTTTTAAATCTAAAACTCTAAAAAAATTTTGAATAATTTAGTTCGGCATGTTATAAATTTAAGAGTTTATTTTTCTTAGCATCACTTAGGGAACTGATACTTAGTACAGAATACAAATACGCATACATGATATCCAAAATCCTGACAGTACAAATCTCGACAGTGCTAATCCTGACGTACATAATCTCGACAAGATAAAATCTCTCCAATATAAAATCCCGACAAGATAAAATCCCGATACTAGAAACGTAGTACAAAGTACGAAGTATATGGTTTACAAGCAAGCTGCTGTGTTTAAAATCTCGAACTCTGTTGGACAGCGTGATTATTGTATGCGCATTCTTTTTTGGTTATGCCTTGACTAAGAACTGTGATCACGTTAAATAATTATTCAACTAGATAGCTGCACGACGTTATCGCGCAAAACCAGAAACGGAAAACCTAAAAAAAATGAAATAGTTAAATAAATATTGCATTCATTTACGCTGATTTTTATTATCACCCTATAAAAAAAAATCTCTTAGAATTGTTCGGAAAATTCTGAAATTACTCGATTTTTTGTTCAGAAAATTGACTCCGTTCTGAACATTTTAAAGGATGTTTATTGGATGTTCATGTTTTTATGTATTTTTCATAAATCTTTTATACATTTTTATATGATAATTTTTAATCAAAAATTTCCTATTTTACATCACATACAAACATCAATATGAAAACAGTACAAAAATAAACCCTGTTCGGAAAATCGACTCCATTCCCGAACATTTTTTTGCACAATGCCTACAATAATTGAACAAACTTTTTTATAGGGTCGATATACAATATACCTGTCAA